TAGCATTGCTTGGATAATTTAGTCTTATAAGAATCTGAAGAAAAATGTTAAACAAAGTCTCAATTGTCCATTTGGTCTCATTGTTGTTTAGTTATATGCTTAATAACAAAACAGCCACTGATTTCCCACTGCAATCGACACTACAGTTGAGTTAAATATTTAAATAACTTAATGACCTCTATATGTTTTTGTCCCTCGTGGCCTGATATAGTTTTTCCTTGACCAAATTTTATTATGGCAGAGATATGAAAATTGATTACATAATCTGTGCAGTAGATTGTGGGAAAAAAGAGAGAGGAAGACAGTGTCAAAAGTTATATACTGTAGCTAGAGAGATTTTATGCCAGGTACAATTCAGGTCATGTGAATTTTTATACCATGTATGTACCAGAAGGTCACCTGATGTTCCTGGTACTTGTATAAGGTTATAGCTCAGTTTATCTCCCTAAACTTAGCGTCAGTTTCATCATAATAAGGCCTCAAACAAAAGGAAAAGTATGTGATAGTCTTATGCTGAAGCTTGTGAGGAGAGCTTTTAGTCTTTAGTTCTCCTGACAGGACACATATTTTGCTTTGCCCTTGGGCACAAGCCACAACAAGCCTTTATAGTGCACTGGAGACTAACCTTCAGATTTCACCAGTTTACAAAATGGCTTACTTGACTAAAAGGAAACAATCCTGTCATGGTAACTTAGTCTTTTCACTTATCTTAAGTTTATCTTAAGCCCTATTCCCCAGTTACTCTAAGCAGCTGGTTTGTCTGGTTAGGTCTCTCTGTTCATGTGTGTGTGTGGAAATTTCAGTGGTGTTTTGATTTTTGATGGAAGAAGGACAGTCCTTTTAATTAAGGATGACAAATTAAATAAGAGATGACATGACAAGAGATGATCTGTGAGAATGTAGGTGTGCATTCCCCACATGTTTTCCCTCTGTAGATGTATGCTATTCCTTTGTGATACAATCACCCGATCACAGATCACTGCTTGCTTGTTCTTGTTAAAAATCCTTTTTTTTCTGTAGTCCTTCCAAACCTGTATGACTGTCTATATGATCTTTCTTCAGTAACAAAAAAAGATATTTTAAAATATGTCTCAGTGTTTCCTTTTTTGCATACAAAGTAAATCAGTGGGGTTCCATTGGACCCCATTGAATTTCATTTTATAATTTTATTGTTGAGTAAACCATGCCTTTAAGTTTACTTGGAATGCGCAATAAAAAAACGTGATTTCTGAAAAATTAAATAAAAATGGAGTTATCGGTTTTTGCAAATGAACTCTTCAAATATACATTCATTAAATCATTATTTATTTATAAAGCACATTTAACCCAAGGCTGACCAAAGTGTTATACAGTGCAGTATAATCAAAAGATAAGAAAAAACATTCAGCACTAAAAGCCACAGTAAGTAAATAAGTGTTAAGTTTAAATTTAAAAGCAGAAAGAGATGTCGCAGTTTTAATAGATGATGGTAGGCTATTCAAAAGTTTAGGGCCTGCTATTGCAAAAGCTCAATATAGTGAGCAATCCAAGATCCCTGGACCTAAGTGATTTTGATGGGTTGTGAGGACATAGCATGTCAGAGAGATATCTGGGAGCTAAACCATTAATGATTTAAAAACAAAAGTTAAAATTTTGAAATCTATTCTCAATTTAATGGGCAGCCAGTGCAAGGAAGACAAAATAGGGGTGATGCGTTCAAATTTACGACTGCCTGTCAGCAGCCTAGCTGCAGCATTCTGAACCATTTGTAAACGATCAATGGATGAGTGGTTGACTACATAATAGAGTTAATTACAGTAATATGGGCATGATAAAATAAAGGCATAAATTACTGTTTCAAAGTTCCTCAGAGAGAGTAGAGGTTTAACTTTTGCAAGGCGTTGTAAATGGGAAAAAGCATGATTTAACCACAGCATTAATTTGTTTATCAAACTTGAGTCCTGAGTCAAACCAAAAGCCTAGGTGTTTAGCACATGGAGTAATAAATGAAGTTAGATCACCGAGGTCCAAATTTAGAAAACCAAGATCCAAATTTTTTGCCATAGTTTCATCTACATAATACATCTACATAATAAGTTACATCTAAATAAGTGAGGTGCAAAAGTCTGACACTTTTATTTAAAATTTTTCCAATTTAAAACAATTGATTCAATTCATGATTCACTGTTTTAGAACTATTGTTTAGAACTATTTTTATTTACTAGAGATGCACCGATCGATCGGCCAGGGATCGGAATCGGAATCGGCCGAGTTTCCTCATGATCGGCCCGGATCGGTGATCGGCCGGTCAGTCTCACTTCTTTCTGATTTCGAGCCGATCCGTTTTGTTACCAGCGGCACAGGCAATAACATCAGCCGCGCATTCTCACTCTGTTCTCTCCGACGACCACTTCTCTCTCACACACATCTCATTCGCTCCGGTTAAATAGTGCTTGTATTGCGCATTATTTTAGTAATTCCCGCAGGTTTCGCGCTTATACCAAACGTGCGCGCACCACCACTGATCAATATTAGTGAAGCGCACAATCCGCACTCAGTCTCAAACAGCTTGTGAGCCACAAATACCAAAATGAGTGGCTAACTGCGCTAAAACGTTCAAATACAAAAAAAATTATGTCAAAATGCCTGTTTTGGCGAGTATCCAGTTAAACAGTCAGTTTTGGAATGTTAAATAGTTGAGAAAAAGAACGCATGTTGTGTAACAGTATTTGGGTCCGTGGATAAAGGGACCGCAGTCCAATATTGATGCTGCTGTTTGTAATGTTAATCAAAGAACAAAAGACAAAGAAAATAATTTTCTGCTCTTGACTGAATACGTTTTATAACTTTAATGGTAAGCATTAATCTGTATTTCATTTTTACAATGAAGACTACAGAAATTAAAGTAATCAAATTTGATTTGATTACTTTCATTTCTGTAGTATTTCTTAACTGAATAAAAACTTGCTTAACCTGAAAAACTTAGTTTCATAGCTCTCTTTATTCTATTGCTTTTATTTGTGCTGTTGTTTGCAATTTTTTTTAATTTGTTCTTATTTTATTACTTTTTACTTGTGTTTTTTTATGAAAATAAAACTTTGCGTTGAAGAAAAGTAGATTTTTGTTTGTATATGCTGTCAATTATAGTTCTTAGAAAGAAAATCGGAATCGGCAAAAATCGGTATCGGCAGATCACACTAACAAAAAATCAGAAATCGGAATAGGCCAAGAAAATTGCAATCGGTGCATCTCTATTATTTACTACACAATTTGTCATTTGACATAGTTAATTTTATTTTAAATTATTTTGAAGTACTGTACACTAATGATTGCCCATTGGTTTTTATCAGTTTTTAGCCCCTTTATATTGCTTATTGGCAATGGCAAACATAAAAATTCACAGATTAAAATTTATATTGCAAGCATGATGATTTCTAAAATCATCATGAATCATATATAACTATATACAGTATATTTACATATAATATATATTTAATAGTATATATTTCCTCAGCGTTATTGTTTGTGTGTGTGTTCTGAACATGGACACTCACTTGTGCTGCTGTCTTTTAGAAATCACACTGAACAGTATGAATCAGATTTAATGTTAGATTAGATAAATATGTTAACAGTGTTAATTTAATTTGTCACTTAAGTTAATGTGTCAGCTTTGTCAGCCCTGTTCATTATCATATTTATTCACTCCCAGCAGGCGTCTCCTCTCCTGCCGTCTCGCTCCTTCCCCTCCATCAGGTGTTCAGCTCTTTCTGTCTGCCAGTATATTTTTCCCAGGAGATGCCTGCATCCGTAACACAGAGAGCACTCTGATAACTGCAGTCATATGACTCTTGTCTCTTATCGCTGTTTCCAGAGCAGTGCAGAACCAGCATTTTCCACGTCTCTGAGTTGATTCTATCACAGATACATCTCATTGTCTGCTCTGTTTGCATACAGTATATGCTGCTGACAGTACGCATTGTTGGTAAGACGGACATTTAATAACGTCTCCATGTCTCACATTTGGTAAGGGTGGTTTCTCAGCTAAAATCAACACAGAAATACTGTGAGAGCGTTACAGGGAGTCTTGTCTGCTTCGGTTCTGCTGCACAGAATGGCAGAGCTCTGTGTAAACTTGATTCTCCTTCAGTCTGATGGCTGGAGACTTTAAACTGTGCAATGAGCATTAAGGCTCGATATTGTATACTTCTGTAGCATTTAATTGTTTTCTCTGATGTCCATTTATAATTTTACAGTGATCAAGTTTTTAGTAATTCTCAGTGTCCGACTTCTGACATCTATTTAAAAATGTTGCTAAAAGAAACACTCAGCATAGTAGTAACCCAGAACTCTCTTTATTTTCTGCACAGAGCCACATTTCCACACAGCAGAATTGCTTTGTGAAGGTACAACATGAGTTTGAAATTTTAAAACAATATATATATGTTATATATATATATATATTGCTTAAAATATATGTTTTGGAGATCAGTAATAAACAAGTGTGTGTGTGTTTTTTTTTTTTGTTTTTTTTTTTTTTTTCAGGG